ATATTAAAAGCAAACAAAAAATGAAAAAAATTTAAAAAGATGAGCAAACATGGAAAACAATTACTAAAAGTTAAAAAAAAATTAACAAGTAATTTTCAAACAAAACACAGCCGACTAAATTAACTTAGTATTAGTATGGGACCACACCTGAGGGGCCAACTTTCCGATAAAAAAAAAAAAAAACATAGAAAACAGTTCACGTGGGCCAAAGTTTCCGGTAACATACATTTAAAAATTTTAATATTCCGACGAAAGTTAGCTTTTTCATTTTTTTGAAGTAAATGTAAAAAAAAAATTAAAGGAAAAAATGCAAACAGCTTGAAATCAACTCGCTCTGCTTTTTCGTTAGCATCTCAATGAAATACTGGACATTTTCAATTTGAGTTGCGATAGACAGTGCTAAAGCAGTACTTAAACTGGATTTATTATGTAATGTACTTGAGTCACAGGAATTTACTTCCTTCCTGTACTCAAAGAAGATCAGTAAAGCTGTCTTCTTCCTTTTCCATACTGATCACCGACTCATCGCCACTGTGTCTAACACCCTTTATGTTTATTAAGTGGTCTTCCTGATGGCTATGGAGCTTTTATTCGACGACTAGGGCATACCAAATATTCTTACATCATTTGAAATCCAATCACATCCACACCGATATTTACTTACCCCCATTTATCAAGTCGACAAGACACATAAATCACCTGCTTTATCACATCCAATCACCACAAAAATATGTATTCCAGACCTAATAAATCAGAGCAACCCAAGTTTTACTTCGTTTTTTTTTTTTTTTGTGTTAACGAAATATCAGTGAATAGCTTATTAAAAAGCAATTAACTACTTTAATAATTGGTTAATTGCTTGAGTTCTAATCTACAGCCGAGTGGCCCAAAGACCCATAAATACATATCGTCGATGATACTGCAAAACGGTCTATGTCTATTAATACCCTTGACACCTCGATGGTCTCTTACTTGCACCGGAACGCATCTGCAAATCGTTACACCCTAATAAACGAATGACAAAACTGTCTACCTTTGCCTTATGAAGATGAACGATTGCCAGAAGCGATCAGATACAGATAATAGATGAATTAAGCACCAGAGGTAATAAGTGACATAGAACGTTTCGTAGTATCACCGACGATATACATATATATGTAGTATATATATGGACATGTGCGTATACAAATTATAAACACAGCGTAATCTGTCTAGTTTGACGTTTGACGAAGAAAAATAAAATAATGAAATATGGGACCTGTGGGAAGTTTGGTACATATGTTAGGCGTGATCGTAAAGTTTGCAGAATTTAAACTAATAAAAATATGTCTACTGATTAGAGTTGACGATAGCAGCTGTGAACTTTTTTTTTAAGTTGAGGGCAGGGCGTATGAGCAACATTCTGCAGAGTAAAATTCATCTGTGATTTTAATATTAATGCGCCAGATAAACCTTTAACAGCTGTGGCTAACGGCGCGAACGACTACAGAGACACAAATTACGATATTAATAGCCGATAGCGATAACATATCGATAAATTGTAATGATAAAGATGGATATAATGGCAAGGATGACTATACCGCCAAAGATAACTAAAAACCGCGATACTTACAATAACAATAACGATAAAAATACGATAACTAGGTACATATTGTGATGTTGTTAAAGATATTAGACTTTTTGACAATAGCGATAATAACATCAATAACAATAACAATAGCTAAAAATAGTACGGTACTACATAATATTGAGAATTATACTGAAAAATAGTCAAATATTCATGTTTCAGCTTTTTTTTTTTGAAATATTGAAAACTTGTTCTGGGGGTTTTTGATTTTTTTCTGAAATTCTGTTTTCATGTTTTTAATATACATAGATATAAGTATACACAAGTAGTTAATTTTTCTTTAGAATTTATGGAATATTTTATCAGTTTACTTTTTTAATTTACAATTTTTTTTAATACTTTTATTTTAGAGTTTTTTAAATTTTTTGTTTTATGAAGTTGAGCTACGATGTTTTATTTATTTAGTTTTAGTTTTAATATATTATTAATACTCATTTGTTATTTACTATTTGTTATTTGTTATTTATTATTTTGTTGTTTAGAAAAATGTCTTTATTTCATAGTTTCGTTTATTTGCTTTTATTGGTTTTAGATTATTTTAAGTTTTTTTTAATTTTTGGTTTGTTTTTTACGAATTTCATAAATTTTTTCTTAAATTTTGAGAAGTTTATTAATATTCGGACCTATTCTGTTGCCGTTGTCGTTTCTGTGTTGTTGCCGTTTTTATCGTTGCGGCGCTCCTAAATGTATTGTTTATTATATTGAAACGGCGCAGAGAACTTATCGACAATTGGTCCCCTTTCAGACACGTCAAGTCTTGCTTTCAAGTCTACTAGTTCGTTCGCGAAGGAGGTGAGAAGAGAGGGGAAGAGTACAGATACCTACGTACCGCCAATTCGTTTCAAGTTTTCTTATTCTCTTTTGATCTTTTCGTTGCTGCCCATTTAAAAAACCAACGACTTGAATTCAATAAAACTTGACGCGTGTGAAAGCAAAGAGAAAACACAAAAGAGAATGCGATGAAAATTGCTTTCAAGACTTGCCGTGTCTGAAAGGGGACTTGGTTAAATTTAGTTCTTAACAATGAGATAACGAATGTTTCTATGTCGTTACTATCTTTATTTCAACATAGGGAGCATCGATATATTCCGATAAATGTCGATAACGCCAGCGTTGATGCTAGATTGTCGTTTTTATTTCGCTTTAAAACGACAACACAAACAGGAATAGGCCCAATTATTATTTTTTTTTTTACCAAATTAGAAAATATAACTTCAATAGTGTTTTATTAAGTTTATTTGAACAAATCGAGTAAAAGGCCTGAAATTTTAAGAAAAAGCTTCTGCTCAGATTTTATGCATACGGCCCATTATCTTTTCCGAGTTCTTTATTTAATTTAATGAAGAGTTCTGAATTTTTTTGCTCTAAACTTTATTCTATCTTTTTAATACTTTTGAAAAATGAAGTACTTTTATAAATTTTTATTTTTAAGAATTTAGAGCATACGAATATTTTCCCCATGTTTTTCAGACATTTCATTTCTTGCAGCCTAAATTGTTGGACTTTTTTTTTGTATAGTATTAAAAATACTCAAATTTTGTTTTAAAAATCTTGTACAGTTTGAATTTTTTGATCTTTTTCAGTTTTTCAATTTTTTAAAACTATTTTATTTAATTGTTTGTTTATTTTAATGTTATTTTTAATTATTTTGTTATTTTTTTTATTTTTATTTTTATTTCTTTTACTTTTTTATTTTTTTCAATTACCTGTATACAATGAAATAAATCATGAAAGTAGCTTTGTAATACATTGTTTAAAATCTTAACATGTTGATGATTTTAATTAAATAGGAGGCTCGAAAATTTTTCTTCAAACTTTGTACTTACAATTTTCATTTAATTTAATTTTTCTCGATTTTTACTTTTATTTTATTTTTCTAGTTTTATTTTTAAATTCTTTCAGATTTCATATAAAGTATGTATCTGTATTTATGTTCATTAATTTTTTGATATTTTTTTTTTTAAACTTAGCATTGTGATATTTTTAATTAAACACGAGTATTAAAAATATTTTCATCTAACTTTGTTCGTATTTTTTTTTTGTTTTAATATATTTATTTAATTTTGAATTTTATTTTATTGTTTTATTTATTTTTTTAAAATTTTTTTTTTAATTTTCATATAAAAGGGCTGTTTTTCGAGGTTTTTTCAAAAATATAATAATAAAATTATATTTACAAGTCGCTTTTTATGATGCATTTTTATTATATCCATTCTACAATTCTCTCGGACATTATAAAACATATTTCGCAACCAATTGCTATTTTTTTCCTACTGAGTGGACTTTGCTGGGTGATTTGGTTGTTTTTTTTTTTGGCTGCTTGGCATTCCTAGAAGTCTTGCTATTCTATTGTTCCCAGTTGTTGTTGTTGGTAAAGTACACACCCGGCTGTTTGTTATTCGGAATGTAAACAAACTCAAAAACATTTAAGTAACGGTAATCACGAGCACAAACATTATCATCAGCATGGTTTGCTTGTCTTTTTTTTTTAGCTCGGGCGTTTGCTTATAGCTAGAACAAATACAGTGGTAGGCACTCGAAGTGTTACCAGTTAGACCACATTCGTGCAGCATGTGAAGCCTTCCCGGACATACACGATGTTATTGTCCAGGCTGAAGATGGTTACAGTGAACAAGTAATACACTTTTCTTAAAATTCAAAAGTTTTTATGGTGAACTGATGTTTTTAAATAAAAAAAATTTGACAAAATTATAGGATTTTTAAATGATAACACTTGCGAGTGCCTACCCCTGCCTATTAATTTTTTTTATGTTCTTAATTGGAAATTATTTCTTGCTCCCTTAATGGCTAGAGTATACTTCATACGCGGGTGCCTGCTTGAGTGTAGCGTGTGGAGGGGGTGGGTGTTTTATGAGAACATACTTGGCCCATAAAGCGCTGCTGATAATGCGCGCTCACCACACAAGCACTTCAAAAGTAATACTCAAGCGCTTACCATGCACTTCAATGGCAAACTGGAATGTGTTTTCTTGTTTGATTTTAATTTGATTTTCTTTTATTTTTTTTCAATATTACTGCTTATAGAAGATATAGATATTTGGCTCTGTTGCCGCTTTAAAATATAATTTGAGAACCGAACGGCGGCAGTTAGCGCGCTATATTCCTTCAAGTGACATGTGCGCGTTTACTATCAAACGCTTTTATAGCGAATGTCTGAAATAGAAAGTTTAAAATTTAGAACTGATCGCGACAAAATATATACGCATCGTCAGCTTCAAATGATTTTTATGCATAAATAATGAAAAAATATTAAAAAAAAAATAAACTTAATTTCTCAACCGTACTTCCGTTTTTTCCAACGTTCGTTAACTTTCTCCGCCACGTGAAAATCCTTTGCTATGTTCTACTTTTTGTATTCCAAACTTTTCAACACCTTGAAATCATCGAATCGCGCTCCTAATTATCATCGTTATTATCATCGAAATTATCATCATGCTAAAGAGCTTAAGAGCGAAGGCCATCATCGTCAGGAGCAGCAGCAGCAAAAGGATTGTGTCAGCAGCGTAATGTCGCCGCGCCGCTGGATTTTATTGCTCATCTTTTACATAGCGTATTTGATGTTCGGCGCCAGCATCTACTATCACATAGAGCATGGCCTCGAGAAGCAAAATCGTGCAACAGAGCTGCGTGAACGTATTGAAATGAATGGTGAGTAAAATACATACTTACAAATTTAGAATTTAGCATATTTTTTATTTATTTATTTTTTTTTTTGAAATCTTAAATAAGAAAATGTCAACTGGGTAGTCCATTAGCAAATTAAGCCATGTGAAATAGTTTTCTCATTTTTTTTCAATTTTTCTTCTCACATTTAAAATATTGACAGGGCATCACTGAAAGTATTCTCTTTGGAAGAAAATGTGCATCAACTAGTTTCTCATTGTTCACCTTGTGCATCGTCCACTTTATCTTCCGAATAATTTACTTCTTCAGCTTTAAATGCTAAATATTTTAATATTGTTTTTAAATTTTGATTTATGCCAATTTGCAGGTAGTGAAAGAATTGTACTTTTTCGAGGTGAGTTGTAATAAATTAAATTTTTGGTGCATATAAATTTGTATTCCACAATTAGTTCATGGCATTAAATATTTGTAAGTGGACTACTCAAAAATTTTCCGGCACCAAATATATCTTGCAAAAATTTGTGCGTTGTTTTAGAAGAGAATTAGAGAATCAGATCTCACCTTAGGGGTGAACATTTTTTCCATAACCTTCAGCAAACTGCTCATAGGTAGCGCATGGAGTCAGGCTATCGTATAAGCAAAGACATGGGGCTCGTATAAAACCCTAAAAGAGCGCACAAGCTGTTTGGTAAACCCCGACTCGACGTTACCAGGCTAAGAGCGATTCTGACCGAGCATCGACTAACTAATCCAACCTAGCCTCTGAAGCATGTAGATCCAGTTTAGTTTCCATGTGGTATAATTCATTAGGCCTGACGGGCATAATTCATTTTAAAAAGTGAAATTAGGCCGCAATCAAAAAATGAATTGGGATATGTGCGGTTATTTGTACAATGGTTTTGTGGTGGGTGCGGACGGGTAGGGAGTTTGGCGCCTTAAACCCCACCCGTTAGAAAGAGCATAATCCAAACTTCAAGAAAAGTTGCTCTTCCGCTCTTTACCCCTCTACAGACCTCTCGCGACCCACTTGGAAATGGGGTGAAATTAGCATTTTGACAGATGAAATGTAAACTCGGGTTACACCATCAACAGTAGAGATGGGCACGGGAATAAATATTTAATCCCGATCCCGCCCATCCCGAAATTAAATGTTCAAGTCCCCAACCCGCCTGCGTACGCATATTGTAAACTTTTAATTTTTCACTGACTTCCATAGGCCGATGTCCAATCTAAAAGGCGATATGCCGCAATCAAGCGCACTTGTCGCTACTTTATGTAGATTGATCGCATATGTATTTTGTTTACAATTTAATAAGAGTCAGCTTCTTACCTCATATCTTAGGTATTAGCTTCAACAATGTAGATTAAGTTGGGTTAGGTTGTTATTTGGTAGTCGATAGAAAATTTCCGTAGCGAGTATACCAAGGGCATCGATCCACTGAGGGAGCTGCCACTTAAAAAACGATTGCCTCTTAACTTGATAATAGGATCGAGCAGGAAGCCAGCCTTAAGTTTGACCTCTCCTCACACCGACTATAGAGCGATAACCACTATCACATGCTTTAGCACAAGTGTTGCCAGATTTATAAGAAATATACATATTGCATCATGTTGGCTATAACTACTTAGTAGTAGACAAATACATATGTATGTATGTACATATTTATATAAGTACATATCTATCCTACATTTGTCTGGGTTTTAATAAAAATTTNCATATGTATATAAGTACATATCTATCCTACATTTGTCTGGGTTTTAATAAAAATTTACGCGTGCATTTTACGATTAAATGCTAATTACTGATATAAATAAAATAATTAATGCATTGCTGTTTACACAAAATATTCACGCTCCATTTTCTCACCATGAAGCATGAATAGCTAAAAGGTAAATTCACATAACTGACAGTTGTGATGTCACTTAGGCAGAACTACTAAAAAAAGAATAACTTAATCGAATAACTTGAATAAAATGCGCAAAAGTCGAATAGACGGATCGTGATTACTACTAAAGCAAATTGCGCTATGAAAGTTTTGCATTCTTTTTATAAGTTTACTTTGTTTGATAAAATTTACACATCGTTAAAAGGTTTTTTCATTTTAATAAGTCGTGCGCAATTTCTTGACAAGCCGTAACACTTTGGCGTTAAGTACCGCAATTTAATTTGATTATTGTACATACAAGTAATTATCGAAATTTCGATTCATAGTCAGCTGCTCAAATGCACATCACTGTCACGCATCCAACCGCCTGTATGGTGTGACTATCGAATTCCGATTTTATTAGCGTGGCATTTTCGAGTGGTGTTAATTTTATACGCTAACCAACTAAATATTTACACATAAAAGTTGTCTGCATAATTGACTTAAGCAAAAGAGAACATAGACGCTAGCGGCAATATTTGATTTATTTAGTTTTTTTTAGTTAAATTTTTCTATAACAAGTTTTTGTCTGCAAAGAGAAATTTATAAAATATGTAAAGTGGCGATAAAGAAGATATTTTTAGGAACTGCTTACGCATTTGGCACATGCAAAATTTTTCTAAAAAAAATTTGACTCATCAAAGAGTGAAGATTTGTATAGACATGCAATTAAATTAAAGCTTTGAAGATACGGGGTTGGAAATTCAGGCTCCAACAAAAAAAAAAAAGAAAACAGTGATATGAAAAGTTAGCAATGAAATAAATGTATAGAGAAAGGAAGGCAATAAATGAAAAATAAGTATATTGAAAATAAATAAAATTTTATTGAAATAAAATGACCTGAAGCGATAAATAATATAAAATGAAATAGAATAAAGTGAAAAGAAAAAAATCACAGCGAATTGAAACTATGTAAATGAAATTACATAAAATGAAATGAAGTGAGGCGCAGCGCAATGGAATGGAAAAAGTAATTTTTAGCGAAAACAAACCGACTTCAATTCTCATATAAATATATATATATATATCAGGATCTAATGATCGGATCTAAACCAGATTAGTATGGGACCACCTCTGAGACACTACCGATGCAAAAAGAATTATCAAAATCGGTTGGCGTGGTCCAAAGTTATGGGGTAACATACATAAGAAAAAAAATATTCCGACGAACTGATAATCTCCTCCTTTTTTGGAAGTCGGTTAATAAAAGGGAACGGTTGTGTTGTGCAAAAAAACTTATTTTTACTTGCTTTTTTGCTCTTTAGAGAATGATAGAAAAATTTTAATAATTCAAGATTTCTTGGATTTCGAGAAATTTTTCGGGATTTTTGGTATGGTTTTTTATATAATTTTTTCGGGATAATGATATACATGAATGAAACCGAGTATTTTGTCGAGATTTTTCGTGTTTTAATACGAAGTTTTCGGCCTTAAAATTATTTTATTTTTTTATTTTTTTAAGGAAATGATAGTTTACGGTTCTAAAAAGATTGACTTTTATTATTTTGAGCAAGAAAAGTTTACAATTTTTACTCTTGGTTTTTTTGGAGTAATAAAAAAATAAAATTAATTATTATTCGCAGGTTTTCGAGACTTTCGGATTTTTTTTTGCATATTTTCAGAATATTTCGTTATTTTTGTTTGCGCTTTTCGTATTTTTTTTATAAAATTTTGTAATTTTTTCTAAAGGTCTCGGTATTTTTTCGTTAGTTTTCGGCAATTTTCTGGAAATTTTAGGGTTGAAGGCATTTCAAGGTCTTTTCAGATTTTTTCAGGAATTTGCAATATTTTTCCAAGAATTTTCTGTATTTTGCTACAATGTTCAGCCTGACCAGAAGATTTAAATATCAAGTTAATTTCTTTTTTGTGAATCCCCGAAAAATAAATAGCAAGAATAACCAGATGTTTTCTGCACAAAAAATATCAACAAATATCTTCTTAAAAAGATAATCGTGTGTTTATATAAAATGTTTACTTGGGTACAGCCTATACCCACATGTTTCCAATCTATTTTAATTTTTCTTTCTTAAAAACTGATATTTCTAATTTTTATCTAATATTTTATGTGTTTTTTTTTTAATTAGAACCACTCCTAATACCAACTCACATTCCTTTAAAACTCCACACTCAATATACTCATGAATGAAAGCCTTCATTCATACTTACAAACAAAGCTTAATGGCAATAAAAAAAAAATCGTATACAAACATTGATCTTGAAAAGTATCGCTGCCTATTTAGGGGGTGTAGGTTATCTGAATGTAACTAATCCATACTCGTTTCCAAGTACAATAGTGAATAGGTATGTATGTACATATTTACACCATCACAGCCATTCAACGCGCATACTAGTACTCATAAAATATCTTCCGTAAACGAACGTTATTGCCGGTGCACAGGAATTAATTTGTATGATAAACACGCCTACGATCGGTTCATTTGCCTTTGTTTTCCGTTTATTTATTTGCTTTTGTGGTTTGAAATTTAGTCGAGCGACTAAACTAGCCAGCGTGAATTAAGCGCAAATGCCCGATGAACCAAATACGCGCTAAAAAGACAAATCTAAGGAAAAACAAAAACAAAAAATAAACGGACAATTGCTGCGCCGACTCGTCGGTGTAATAGCTACCATGTAGGAAAAAGTGAAAGTAGCTAAGGAAATTTTAGGTTGAGTGCCAGTACTATTTCACCAGTTGGCGACGACTTACTTGTCTTTCCACAATCTTACCTTCTATGCTCGCTCAACTGACACGAAAATAATAGCCTGAGGCTAACCAAAGCGTCTCCGATGGTCATCGAAGAACTCGGAGTAACGTCAATGGTACTTTATTTAGCAAGCTCGACAGCTTTGCAGTTACCTCAAATCTTATTCTTACCTGATAAAGTTTGAACGAATTGTCATACAACTTGAGAGTGTGCTGATTGGCTATCAGAAAAATAGTACTCGGAAAATCTGAATTTGTGCATGTTATAGAGTTCCGGGTACAAAATACCTCCTCCAATCATTCCGTCAAACGTCAAACCTTCTAACAAAGGAAAGGTTTAACTTGAAACAAGGAGATGGGTATGAAGAAAGATCCGCTTAGAGTTTACGAGCATA